CATTTACTTCTAAATTCAATTTGTATCAATTTCGTCTGCTAATTCGTTTAACAGTACTTGTTCTCTCGCGATTAAAATCTGCTGATTAACCCTCCATGGGGGCCGCCATCTTTGATCAAAGCAAGCGCACAGCGAGCGCACAGCGGTGGATATATGTTTCCATGCCATCGAATCACGTGACGTCACGCGACGTGACGCGACGTGACGTGACGTGACGTGACGTTCGCGTGACGTCAGTGTACGTCACGCACGAACTGCGCGAACCTAACCCTAACCCTAACCCTAACCCTAACCCTAACCCTAACCCTAACCCTAACCCTAACCCTAACCCTAACACTAATACTAACACTAACACTAAACACTAATAAATAAAAATAAAAATAATAAACAGATGGGATTCGAACCCACCACCTCAAGAAGAAACGTCCGGCGCCATACGCGCTGCGCTATTTTGGTTTGCTCGAATGATGTGTTATGGATGTGCCCTATATGCATACATGGATGGGCGTGCGTGATTGGTCTATGGTGGTGGCTAGCCACTGACGTCACACTGACGTACACTGACGTCACGCGAACATTCGATGGCATGGAAACATATATCCAGTTCTCTCGCGATTAAAATCTGCTGAGTAACCCTCCATGGGGGCCGCCATCTTTGATGTGAACAGCAAGAAATGCGCGCGTGAAAACTTCCAAATGCGCGCGTAAGTGTTCGTCATTGCTTTGCTAATTAGAAAACGGAAAAGCGATGAGAAATGTATCTGTCTATTAAATATTATGTTGCATAAATCAGAATATGTGTGAGATATAATCAGAACTATAATAATTATCTACTCCTGATATAATCCATCTGTTATCAGTAACATCAGCGCGGATGCCAGACACCGCAAAACATTCAACGCATGAATAAACAAAACATTCTATGCTATATCGATGTCCTATTTCTTAAGAGAGGTCTACGGATGGAATATTAACATATAAATCTAGGCTAGAATACCTCCTCTTCATTTTCATTGAATAATTTTCGCAAAATATTTTTCTTCTCAGGTGATATTGCGCATGCGCGATCACTGTTACAGGCGTGCAGTACGGACTGCACTCAAATAGATAATATTTATATGGGAGGGAGAGAGGGGTGGGAGACCAAGAAAACGCGACAGGTGAGATAGCTGAAGAGCGGTGGAAGAAGAAGGCTGAGCGAGGGACAAGAGAGGCAAGAGGAAGGATGGGGAGGTATGAAATATGAGTTTCCTTTCCAACAGGCTAGGGCGCTTTACTATTAATAAACACAGGTCTACTAATAAAAATTTATCACAGAAATCTATGCTCGGATACCCCGTAATCATTTTAAACGCATAATCATCACAAAATATGACTCCTCTGGTGAGATATTGCGCGTGCGCTAACCCGCTAACGTATAGCAAGATTGTGATATACTGACTGGTATATGCAGCGAGTATCTTACATGCAAGGTCTTCTTCCTATTTCTAAAGAGGGATCAACGGATGGAATGTTATCATATAAAGCTAAGCTAGAATATACCTCCTCTTCATTTTAAATGCATAATTTTCGGAAAAATATTTGTCTTCTCGAATGATATTGCGCATGCGCGATCACTGTTTCAGGCGTGCAGTACGGGCTGAATACAAATAGATAACATTGCTTTGTGAGGGAGAGAGAGGTGGGACACTAAGAAAAGGCGACAGGGGAGGTAGCTGAGGGGCGGCGGAAGAAGAAGGCTGAGCGAGGGACAAGAGAGGCAAGAGGAAGAATGGGCAGGTATGAAATATGAGCTTCCAATCCTACACGTTAGGGCGCTCCACTATTCATAATCAAAGGTTTACTAATAACAATTTCATATAATTATCACAGAAATCTATGCTCGAATACCCCATAATCATCTTAAATGCATAATCATCACAAAATATGACTTATCTGTTGAGATATTGCGCGTACGCTAGCATACTATAACGTAGCAAGATTGTGATATACTGACTGGTATACGCAGCGGGTATCTTACATGCAAGGTCTTCTTCCTATTTCTTAAGACACGTCTACTGGTTGAATGTTATCACATAAATTTAGGCAAGAAGACCTCCTCTTCATTTTAAATATATAATTTTCTCCGGTGATATTGTTATGTTGATTATTATATTATGATGATGATGATGATGATTATTATTATTATTATAATTATAATAATTATTATTATTATATGGTATTATAATTATGATATTGATAATGTTATTATTCTCCGGTGATATTGCGTACGCGCGATCACCGTTTCAAGCGTGCAGCACGGACTGAATACAAATGGATAATATTGCTTGATGAGGGAGAGAGGGGTAGGCGGCTGAGAAAACCCGGCAGAGGAGATAGTTGAGGGGCGGTGGAAGGAGGAGGAGGAGGAGGAGGAGGTTGAACGAAGGACAAGGGAGGCCAGAGGAAGGACGGAGAGGGTCTGAAGTCGGAGTTTTTCATCCTGCACGCTATGGCGCTCTCCTATTCACAGGTCTATACACGCCCAGCTCGCGACAGTTCATTTCGCTAACTGATGGCGGGTTTTCTTCCTATATGAAGGCACTGCGAACAGAGTGTTCGCGCGCCGTTAGCTATGTTATCTAGATATTTATGCTTGTAACCACAACACGCCTCCACTACACGTCGCAAATACATACATACCCACACGCGCGCACGCAACAAACGGAAGCACGCTCGCTTTTCATAGTGATATATTATACGTTTTTGTGCGTTTATGAACTAATTCTCCCGACAGATGGCGGAACGATGTTGTAGCTGACTAAATCTGGATACGCATTCATCACCCACCATGCACCCTGCCGCCCGGACTTTACTTTATACCGTGAGTTCCTGCTTCTATTACACCTCGCTTCTCATTAAAGGCCTCAGAGACGCGTCGTTAAAAGTAATGCCCTACGATGTTCGTTGTCTGAATTTTTTTTTAAATTTGCATGCAGATGTGTTCTATATTATTTGTAGCAGTGCTTCACTGTTCTCGTACATCATGACATAACGCAATATCCCTCAAATTAATCATATAAAAGATTCTACTATAGGAAACAGATTCTCATTCCCAACTCCAGTTGCAGTTCCTTTCTGGATATTCATTTGTTTAAATAGTTGAAGAATAAAACTGCCACATATGGCTTGCTTTATTTCCCATCGCAGTATGGTCGTATGCTCCTGTCCCTTACGTAGTCAGAAATCGATTTGGTAGATGGTATGTCGATATCAATAACCTACGAATTTCTTTCCTTCTGCATTCTTACAACTATTTAAATATTGTTTGTAAAATAAGTGTCAATTGTGGTATCCCGTATGCGCTATCTTATACGTATGCTCTCCTTATTTAATTTTCGGCCCTTATACGTCTTTTACGTTTTTAAACGCACTCTGAAACTCTAAACCAATGTTTGCTTTATTCATATCGACATTGCTACCAATCCACATAATCGCAATGCACCATATTAGAACTAATGATTAATGTATTCATGATTACATCAAAGAAAAAGCTAAAACATGGCACCACACTACGGCGACGCAACTACTGTTGTAATTTCTCATTATCCGACGTAGGTATCAGTCAGTCAGTGAGTCAGAGAGGCAAAACGCGCGCGAATTGAACACACTTGCCCGTGCGAGCTACTGCTCCGCTTCGCCGCAGCTGTAATACGCGCTTCCAACCAATCATGTTCACTTCACTGGCGGTCGCGAAGCTGACTGAGCAAGCATTCAGTGAGAGCGCAACCGAATTAATGACACTCATTATCAAGACTACCGAATTGCTGTAGCGATAGTGAGCAGGCGTGGCACTTCAGAAGTTTCTGACATCTTCACCTTCCTCGTTCATTCGGTTCCGCAGGTTCCTATGATCTGTTTCACTCGGCGCCAGCAGAGATGCACGGGATAGCATACACCGGAAGAAGATCAAATGCTTAACTAGCTACGCAACACACGCAATCAAGTGACGGTGCGCAGGTGACGTGACGGGCCTCGGTGAATTTCCTGCTGGAAGGCGCTCTCTACCGTCTGTGCTGCTGATGCGCGGGGCTAAGTGTGCCAGCATCGCGTAAAGCAAGGGAATCTTAATCGGCTTAATTACGCACCGAATAGCTCACAGTGTTGGTGCTGATGGCGTCGACGTGGATTCGGCTCGCAGCACCAGAGCGCACGACCACGGATACATCGCACGCTGTGCTCGAATGTGCTTGAAGCTGCTTAGTATGAGTTACATGAGTATTTGCAACGTGCTTGCAAGTGCTCGCGCGCATACATGTGCAGGAAGCTGAAGCGGTGCTCTCGGTGCATTATCACCACTCTTCACGATGATGCCCTCTCGGAGGGGGCTGGTCGCGCCGCAAAACACCTTCCTAGAAAGCCTTCTCCGCAGGTCTACCGGCCAATGTAAGTCAGCCGCGATTCAATTTTACTAGGTGACTGCTAGTCCGCAGTGAAGGGGTTATGATTAATTGAGATTTCGAGTTGAATTTGGGTTATATTAGGGCAATAATTAGTATTGGATTGGGGGTTATCGCTAGAGTTATAGCTACGGTTGTTGTTATGTATATGTAGTTATAGCTATGAATTAGGTTAAGGGTGCAGTTGTGGTATGCACAGGGATCCTAACTATTAAAGTAAAATACTAATAAAAGTAGATCTGTGAATTGTCCACACCTGCGGTGTCATGTTTCGTGCAGACGGGATGTAAGCGATGGTTTTTTGTTGTTTACTCGCAGTCACGCGGTCGCGTTTTTATTCGCTCTCTGTGATGAAACCGAACTGAATGCCGCTGACCCAGAGAGACACACCGCCTCTTCGATTGATATGCGTTACCTTGACTCGTCGCTTATTGATTTCGCTCGTTGATCAATTATTTGTCGCCGAGCGCAGATCGAACGCGCGCGTTGGCGGTTAGGAAGTTTGTATGCGTGTTCGGTCTACAGCTAGTCAGCCTGGTCGGCTGCAGTAGTAGGTGCTGGGACGGCAGCTTTGCAGGGGTACAACCGTAATCAGACGTACACGCAATATATATTGATTCCAACCGTGTAGCATTTTGCGCTCGCATCGTCGTAACGATACATCGTTCGATTTGCTAGAGAGACAGACGCTCTGTGAGCCATCCACTGAAAAAGATTATTATTTCTACGCCCACTGGTAGTAATCGCAAGGCCTAGAGTTTGGGCGTTTTCGCGCGTGGTTGGGAGTAGGGAGAGAAAGAAAGAGGTGGGAACGCGGGAGAGGGAGAGAAAGGCCTGTATCGTACTGATATCGTTTGTTTTTCCCGTTGTTAGCTTTCCATTCACGCGCCTCGTGTGAACACAGAAAGCAAACGTACTGAGCATACACGCACGAAATATTGCTTTACATCATAGTGTGTATTTGCTACGCAGTTGCACGCTACCTATATATTGTATTAAACATACTCATCTAACCATGCAAAGGACTCGTGGACTTGCGCATATATGGTTACACATAAACAGTTTATCTACAACAACTGTCACGGTATACTTTACCTGCAGATATTTGTATACAGGCTGGATATGGATTATACATTTTTACGTCTAGGCATATACATACATAATATATACATATATGTATACATAATTGTTAACCATGGCATATCTTTTGCATGCATGTGCACGTATATGTGCTAGTTGTGTAACTATGACTGATTGTACGTTACTCATATAGAGCCACGTGTCTATATTGTATCGTTTGCTGACCTGCTGTGGCGATCGATCGTATGCAAGCCGTGTTCATACCAGTAAAAGTTATTCGTATTTCTTGACGCGAATTGTATCAACTATGCTCACGCAGGGCTGTATTATTACAGTAAACTCGGTAGGCGCCACGCTCACGGGGCCTGCACGAAGCAAAGGGTCTGCGAAAGGTGTAATCATAGTTTCTATTCTACGAGAGAATCTATAACGAATGTGCCTTATATGTTCTATCTATTATTCTGTTCTTAATATATTAATATATTATAATATATAATACATATACTAAGATAAATATATAATAATATATATAAGGTAATATATCAATATATTATTATATTATCTTGATATATTTCTTCTATTATATATATATTCTGTGACATATATTCTATACAAAGTAGCCGATGAAGGTAGTGTGTGCGTGGGCGTGCTGCGTGCGCCCGCGCGTATAGCAAACGAAATATGCACACAATGATCTGAATCTGGACCTGCATGGGAGTATCATCTACGGGAAAAGTAACAATGGATAGTATGCCTTCGACATTGCGCTCTCGACATGTCGTGTGGTGCTTATTCTATAGAGACTAGCTGCGACAAGAGGTCACGTTGTTGGTAGACAGCGCCATGCGACGTAACGAGTGAACGCAGACATGAAATAAGATATATAAGGCCTATAAAACGGCGGATCGTAGGCGCAATGCTACACAGGCTTATATATCTGAAAGCTTTGCTCTCATGACTGCGTGGGTTCCGATGATATAAAAGAACTGTCGCTAGATTCTCTCGGCGAATCGTGGTATTGTGTTGTGTTCGCCGTACAGTGGGCTGTAAACGGTGAGACGAAATTACAAGCGATGTATTAACAGTGTAGTCTATATATACCATATGCACAGATGCAATCATTGTCCTCGAATGGGGTGGAGTGGCTCACAGCCAGAATATGCAAAAACCACAGGATGGAAAATAACGCTGTCGTAAGCAATAGAATTGTTTAAATTTTGTCTGCTCAGTCTGGTATTAACTCAACACTGTCACGCGGCTGTTACAGGCCATACATAGACAGCTCATAATTTGATGACTGGATACACAGTTTTGATTGCAGCCTTTATTTAAATGTGTCTTTTCACGCGCCAACGTTGATTGCGTCGTACTACAATGTCTTGCAAGGCTTCAGCTTCTTTGAGGCTTATACTCACGCGCGTGGCATGGGTGCTAGCGGGACTTGTCACGTCGTGACGCACGAGTGATGCAAGCATCAAACCAACTTTTTATACCATCTGTAGGTTTTAACACACAGCTTATAGACTAACATTTAAAGGCAAGGTCAACATGCAATCATTACTCAATCACATCAGTAAAGATAAATTTATATTCAACAAAACACGTTGGCTTTATAAAATTTCATATTTTGTTGTGATTTTAGTGCATACAATTTTTCAATAAACGCGGCTTCTGATAGTTATAACGTAGAAAGTTGGCGCGAGATCGAGATGAGTGTATTTAACTTGTTATAATGTGATTACAGGCTTTATCGTGCACGAAGCAACATTTTTCGTAACCTTTAACGTAATGGCTATGCGTCATTCCGCGTAATAGAGCTCAAATCCCTCGCTTCGAAATTTCTCGGTTTTCAAAACCGACTGTGGTTTATTGCAGACGGGTAATAAACTTGAAGTTCTGGGAATAAGTGAATGTTAGATAAGTCCACTTCTGTTTGTATATAAGTGTGTAACTGATAACTTGTGTTAACCTTGGCTGTGTGTATATATGATACGCTTACCAATTGTATATATCCTACTTATAGCTGTGTGTATATGCAACATGACGTATTGTTTTAAACAGAGTTCGTATACCTCGTAAAACGATGTATATTATAGCTGTATTTTTGTGTGTGTGTGTAACTATACCTATATAGTTTACTTGTAAACCAGCACGCAAATGTTGCCAGGGAAGTTTACGTGAATTGCTCCTTATCTGAATATTCTACATGTAACTATATATATATATATATATATATATATTCACGGATTTTCCACCGCCAAGCCGGTCCACAGCCTCAGTCTAATATAATATAATATTAATAAATATATATATATAATATCATATCATATCATATCATATAAAAATAATAAAATATAATATAATATAATATAATTAATATTATTAATAAAATATAATATATAATATAATATAATTAATATAATATATATATAATATAATAAATAATATAATATAATATAATATAATATAATAAATATAATATAATATAATATAATATAATATTATATAATATAAGTATATAAATAATAATAATATAATAATTATAAGTGTGTTATAATGTAGAAATGCGTTTCAAAGTACTACATTTTTACATTACTATTGTATCACAACTATTTACATGTAGGCCAGTAAAATAATACTTTCAGGTCGTGAAACTGTAGCAGATGCTAATCATTTGTGCGTAGTGATTTTTACGGCACGAGCTAAATACGATACAATATGACGCGTCACAAATTTGCGACTGAACCCACTTTGATAACTGGCTACACTACAGATCGAAGCCAATCGAGATTCTCGTTGAGTTAAGACGCGATCTTTAAACATTAAAACATAATTAAAGCAATGCGCAACTTCAACAAAAATTTGCTTATATATAATATATATTATATATATATATATATTTTAAATAAATAT